GGGCTCAGGCAATCCACTCACCTCAGCTTCCCAAAGGCGCGGGATTACAGGCTGAGCCACCGAGTCCGGCTACTTGAACATTTTATATGATTGTTTTACATGATCACTTGGAATACATCGTGTATGTGTCCAAGTCTGTGTGTGTGGAAGAGTGTGTGTGTGTGTACAATTTAGTTCTTCTGCAAAGACAGATTTTTTTCTCTCTTCTTCTAGGTATAAATACAGGTGTATGGACCTTCTCCATAGTTTGAAAGAATTCATGGCAAGAATTCCTTAGAAGTCCTCTTCTCTCATGCCTAAAATCCCAGCACTTTGGGAGGAGGAGGCGAGAGGACTGCCTGAGCTCAAGGGTTTGAGACCAGCCTGCGCAACACGGCAAGACCTCGTCTCTGCAATCAATCAAAAAATTAGCCAGGTGTGGTGGCACATGCCTGTGATTCCAGCTACTTGGAAGGCTGAGGTGGAAGGATCACCTGAGTCCAGCAGGTCGAGGCTGTGGTGGCCATGAATGTGCCACTGCACTCTAGCCTGGGCAACAGAGTGAGACTCTGACTCAAAAAAAAAAAAAAAAAAGCCCTCTTCTGAGCCACCCACAGAGAATTGCTATTTGCACCTTTCAATCCTCCTCTTCAAAAAGCTGGACAACAAGAAGCATCCTTACGTTGTAACGGACATCTAGGCCACCATAGCTTAGTGGCTGCTTTTGTTGCAATCTCAGGTCTCCATTCACATATAACTGGGAACCCGGAATAGCAAAGGAAGACTGGAGAAACGCCATACTCTGCATCACAAACGTGGACATCCTCTGAAATCATTAGAAGGAGAGACAATACCAAATGCTGTCGAAACTGAAGGACTCTGTGTTTTAAGAGTCACTTGTCGGTCATTGCCAGGCCGTTGCCACCACTGCCTTGCTAGACTCTGGTGTGGTCATGTGCTCTATGAGCTATGACAGTTACCATGCTTCCTGGTTTTGGCCCTCCCACCCCTACCTTGGGGAGGTAAATGACTTCCTTTTCTCTCTCTCTAATTTACTTTATAAATAAACTATGTTTTCTAATCTATAAAAAAAAAAAAAAGAGTCACCTCTCTGTTGCTGATACCTAAGAGGCCCTCATAACTGGTTTAGCCATGCAGGAAACACTCTGGGCCAGAACCCGCTGAGTTACTCATATAAATTCATATGACCCCAGTGGAAAACATTCAATTGGACTAAGTTAAATCCCAGAAAAAAGCCTGCTACAGTGTGGGTCTTCTAGAAATCAGAAGGAGGGCTGTGTTCTATGAAAAGACACAAGGGACTCCAAGGGCCTGACTCACATGCAATTGGTAGGAAAATGTCAGGATGAGCTGCACACCCAAAATGTGCTCCGTGGACTGCAGGGGAAGCTCCATCTTAAAATGCAACATGTCCATTTTCCCATCCTGGTTCCTGTCTTCTTCTCTAGTCTAGAAAATCCAAAGATCCTGGCCGTTAATGAGTCAGGGAAGAATCCACCTCATTTCTGCATGTAAACAATGACCCACTGTCCTGCTGTACACAGGCATTATCTCCCAAAACAGAGAGAAAAATAAACAGGAGCAAGTGGATCAATTTGGGGAAAGAGACAGTGTGCATGATGCCTGAACTTCATGCTTATGCCTCTCAAATGTTCACTGGCCAAAAGGAATGGGAACTTGAAGTGGCAATAACAATAATAAACATCCAGATAACACTTGTCTCTTTCAGTTGTCTCACTTGATCTTGTTTATTCTGTATTGATGCTTTCTTTTCTTTTTTATAAACATGACTGGATTTGTATGGCAAATATAAACAGCACATCAGAATTACCATGTACTTCTCTAGAAGTCAATTTTTAAAATAGAAAGAAATCTAATCCTAATCATTATGCATTCTCCAAACAAACTCAACAAAACATCACAAAGCTCTATTTATACTTCTTAAACCACAAGTGTCTTTGCTTCGGATCCTTAATGTTGGCCCTCATCTCATCATTCATGTCAGGACTTGAAAGCCTCCTGCATCTTCCAATCAATAAAATGAAAAAGAAACTAAGTAAAATCAGCAAAGGATCAAATCCACAGATATTTGATAAATTATGGACATGAAAGCAGGAAAAAACCAAAGATCTGAGGAGGGAAAAAGACAAATTACATCTCATAAAGCATACATAGGCAGTTAACAAAAAATTCATCTACATTCTTGCCATCCAGTCTTACCTCACAGTGATGCTAAAATGACCAGCAAGAAAGGACGGTAACTGACATGTGATCACTGCTGACATGATTCCTCTGCACAATTCTGGACCTTGCGACAACTGACCCTTCCCCACTACAGGCTCCCAGAAGGATTCTACTATGGTGCATCAGCATTTCCATCTGAATCCCCCACCCACTGATGCATTTTGATTTCTACCACCACCATTATGTGACAAAAAGATTTTTTGGTGTTTTCAGGTTAAAAAGTTCATTTGAGATAAAGAAATCTCAGTTTTCAGAACCTTTCAATCATTTCTTTCCTTCTAGACAATAACATCCTTATCCTAGGTCTTGTTTCTGAAAAACCTACCTGCCTTCTTCTATTGGATACTATTCTCTCTGGCCTTTTCCATCAGCTTTATAGGTGTTGGGAAGGGTTACCGGCTACCAGGCTGATGATCAAGTGTCTGAGGCAATTTTTTACTAGTAATTATGAGTAGGATGAAAAGAAGCTGCCTTGTCTCGCAGTGAATTTTCTTCAGTTGATATCTGGATGACTTGGAAGACAATGTTGGGTTAACTCTGTAATGGATCCGTGCTTTCTGGATCTTCAGGTTTGGACAGGAAGCAAAGATCAAATTTCTCAATTTGCAAGAGAGGACAGTGGCCAGAAGAGATTCATCAGGAGAATCCAGACTCCAACACACACACACACACAAATATATATAAAGAGAAGATATTGGGCAGATAGAAACTCATTTCATTTGATCTTTACAATAAATCGAAAGTCCATGATGGGAAGAATAACTATGATCTCCATTGTACAGATGAGAAAAGGAAGGCTCGGGGACATCAGAAGATTCACCAGAGGTACAGCTAGTAACAGTAAAAACAAGTTTTGAGATCGGGTCTTTGACTTCAAATCTGGTCCTCTTTACAGGACTAAAATCTCCAGACTCTAAACACAATTTAAAAAGAAGATATTGAGCCAAGCGTAGTGGCTCATGCCTGTCATCCCAACACTTTGGAAGGCGGAGGCAGAAGGACTGCCTGAGCCCACGAATTTGAGACCAGGCTGGGCAACATGGCAAGGCCTCATCTCTACAATAAATAAAAAATTAGCCGAGCATGGTGGTGCATGCCTGTAGTTCCAGCTACTTGGAGGGCTGAGGTGGAAGGATCACCTGAGCCCAGCAGGTCGAGGCTGTGGTGGCCGTGAGTATTCCACTGCACTCCAGCCTGTGTGAAACAGTGAACTCTGACTCAAAAAAAAAAAAAAAAAAAAAAAAAAAATATATATATATAGAAGATATTGGGCAGGAGATTTCTTTGCAAAAAGGCAGTATTGAGCATGTGCGTGTGTATTCTTGCTCTTGTGCACTTTTACTTCAAGTTCACAGAGGATGGAGATCCGGCACAGCACCGTAAATAGTGTCTACTTGTTAAATTTGCCCAGTAATCTATCAAGTACTTTTTGAGGCCCTACTATATATGCCAGGCACTATTTCAGATAATGAGGATATAATGGTAAACAAATCAGACAAAGTCATTCTAACAGAGCTTACATTCCCAGTAGAGAAGGGAAAAAATAAGTCAATTAATAAATTAACTTGTAACAATATCAAATAGTGATAGGTGCCACAAAGAAAATGAGTAGGCTAATATTAAAGAATAATGAAGGTAGCATTTAACAGAATTTTTTTTCAGAAAATATTCAAGATAACCTGACTTGTGAGAGACCTGAATGAAGTGAGGTGATGAGGCATGGCACTGTCCAGGCAAGAGTGCAGTCTGGGTGCCTGTGGGGCCGGTGCAGTTGGGCAGAGCGAGTGGGAAGGAAAACAGGGTTGAGAGAGCAGCACAGAGAAGTGACAACGCAAACAGTGCATTGCCCATAAACGACCTGTCACCAACGACGCTCTCACGCATACAGGGCTGGCAAAGGTCAGCTCTGTTTCCATGCTACCACTCGGACCACTGAAGAAATAAATTATTAAATTCCGTGTAGTTCAAAGTAAGCTTAACACACGTGGAACAGCTATAAATGCAGGCATTCACAGAGCTGCTATGAGGGATGACCCTCCAAAAACGGAATTTATAAAAAGTTATGTATTTATTTTTACATACTTAAACTTCAGTCATCTTCAAACTACTCTCTGATGCAGTATACCTATTGAGATGCTTTTTCCACCGCTCAAAACAGTTTTTGAATTCGTTAATTTTGATGCCTTTTAGTGCTTCTGCTGTTTTTTGTTTCACCTCTTCCACATCAGCAAAACGTTTCCCTGTGATGACTTTTTTCATTCAAGGAAACAAAAAAAAAGTCACTCAGGTGAGACTGGGTGAAGAGGGAAGGTGGGGAACAAAGGTCAGGCCACTTTTGGTCAAAAACTGCTGAACACTCAGTGCAGTGTGGGCAGGTATGCTCATAAATCACCCATCATGAAATGGACAAAAACCTTGAAAGAATCTCCAAAAAATATTCAGTGAAGCCAAACACCACGACTCATAACAATGCTGGCTGGTCCACTGATGTCGATGGATCCCTAGAACACTAACCTAGTGGGGAAGCCTACTTACAAGGGGTTCACCCTCCAAAAATTAATTCCAGGGTTTTTGGGTCCCCCTCATGAATACAAACTCTATCTACGTCACTACCTGAACTCTAAGTGGTGCCTGACTAAGAGAATTCATAAAACACACCATCACTTCATTTCTGTGAAGTATATGTAGGATTTGGAACAATTTTTATATCCATTGATTGTCCCATCTGTTTCTTCTGCATATCCCAAGAGAGAGTAGGTATTCTCATGCTCTGTATATAGATAGATAAATTGAGGCTGAGGGGGTGTATGGAACCCAATGACAAAATTGGGACTAGGACCTAGGTTTACTGACTCCTGCTTCAGTGCTCCTTCTATAATAACTCCTGAGAACCCTAATTTCAAAGATTTCTGAAGGATAAAGGAGGATAACGTTTTACAGGTATCATGAAGCAAGACTGATGTATCAGATAAAGTCAGAGGGAATTTGATATAGGGAATAATGAGTCCCACAGGTATTAGAGGACTGAAGAAGTAAAAAGAGAGGAACATAGTAACACAGAATCAGTAACTGCAGCTCTAATGCCTTGGGCGGGTGAGGGAACACAGAGGCTCGAAGGAGAAGGTCTCAGAGCAGGGACACAGGCCTCAAGAAGGGAGTGCTATCCAGCTGGTGCCAGGACTCCAGAGCTTGGAGGAAGGATCCAACTAGAGTGAACTGGGAGGCTGGAGGAAAGAGAGGCGTCTTACTCCTTCCAGTCTGTGGGGTTGTCCCTGTTTGCGTCACCCCAGCAGTGGCAACTGGTTCCATTTCTTCTCCACTCCTAGAACAAGGCTCATTATGCCTCCTACTGGCACAACCTAGCAGAGGAAGGACAATGTGGCTTTCAGCATCTCAGCAGGAATATCACAAAGCAGAGCATAAGAGTTAGTTTGGAGCTGAGGCAATACCTGTAACCAGTACACCACGTGACTCTCGGAATTGCTGTACATGTAAAAAGTGCCATTGCTTCCAGGATGTCCTGACTTGCAATGTTTTTTCCCATCAGGGATTTACAGCATCTGATGGTTTGTTGACATTTTTTTGGTTCCTGTTTTGTTTTCATACATTTTTTTTTTTTTTTTTTGAGTTGGAGTCTTACTCTGTCACCCAGGCTAGAGTGCAGTGGCACACTCACGGCCACTGCAGCCTTGACCTGCTGGGCTCAGGCAATCCTTCCGCCTCAGCCTTTCAAGTAGCTGGAACCACAGGCATGTGCTACCACACCTGGCTAATTTTTTGATTTATTGTAGAGATGAGGTCTCACCAAGGTGCCCAGGCTGTTCTTGAACCCCTGAGCTCAGGCAATCCTCTCACCTCTGCCGCCCAAAGTGCTGGGATTATAGGCATGAGCCACCGCACCTGGCTGTTTTCATACCTTTCATTCCTTTGACCTTCTTTTATTGAAGGTTAATTTCCTCATTCATGCCAGTGTCCATTTCATCATATATTTGTCACCACGTTTGCTTTTTATATTGAAAATACTCTTGGACACCAGTCTTGGGTCTCTAGGAAAGTAGGAACTGCTACTCCATGGTTTCTAGACTCATCAATCCTTGGTAACTGTACTTCAATCAATGTAAGACACCAACATTACAAAGTGAACCATTATTTTATATACCAATAAGAAAGGAAACTCATTTCCAATTAAACTATGGCGCATAGTCATTTATAATATTTGTTTTATACTTATTGAAAGAGCTTAGGCCATGCGCTGTGGCTCATACCTGTAATTCCAGCATTTTGGGAGGCAGAGGTGAGAGGATTACCTGAGCCCACGGGTTCAAGACCAGTCTGGGCAACTTGGAGAGACCTCATCTCTACAATAAATCAAAAAATTAGCTAGGCGTGGCAGTACACGCCTATAGTTCCAGCTACTTGGAAGGCTGAGGTGGAAGGCTCGCCTGAACCCAGCAGGTTGAGGTTGCAGTAACTGAGCATGCCACTGCACTCCAGCCTGGGCAACAGATTGAGACTCTGATTCAAAAAGAAAAAAAAAAATGTAATAGCTAATGTCTACTATGAGATTATTACAGGCCAAGTACTATGTAAAGGACTTTAGATGTATTATATAACAATACAATGCTTATTATATGCCTGAGGAATAGCAAATCAATAGTAATTTTTATTACTGCATCTTTTTTTTTTTTTTTTAGAAAGCAGGATTTATTGAGAGGACAGAAAAGCTCCCACAGTAGGAGGGGACCCAAAGGGGTTGCCCTATTATTATATCTTGTAAGCATATCACCAGCCTATCACCTACCTACATTTTAAAATATTGAGACAAGATTCACGTACCATGAAATCTACCCTTTAAGAAATATAATTCAGTAGATTTAAGTATTCAAAATTGTGCCATCACCACTATCTAATACCAATTTCGGAACATTTGCATCACTGGAAAATGAAAGCCCACACCTATTAGCGGTCTCTCTCAATCCCTCTCTAAGCCCCTGGGAATTCCTCATCTACTTTCTATCTCTATAGATTTGCCTAATCTGAACATTTCATATAAGTGGAATCATAGAATAGGTGCTATTTTGTGGCTGAATTCTTTCATTGGGCATAATTTTTAAGGCTCATCCATGTTGTCGCATACATCATGCCTCTATTCCTTTTTACAGTTGCATAATATTCCCACTGTATGGACGTGTCACACTTGTTTATCCAGTCATCCACTAATGAACATCTGGGTTGTTTCCCCTTCTCTGCTATTATGAATGCTATGAACTTTGTGCACAAGTTTTTGTACACACACGTGTCTTCAATTCTCTTGTGAAAATTGTAGAAATGCTGTGTCACAGGGTAAGTCTATGTTTAACTTTTTGAGGAAGCACCAAATTGTTTTCCAAAGTGGCTGCACTGTTTTATATCATTCTACTGTTTCTTGGCTTGTTTTTATTTTACACAGGCATTTTCTAAGTTTTTATGAAAAATAGTTGTCATTAACATTCAAAAATCTTTAATATGTATTACATTCCCATGGTACAAAATTAAGAAAGGTACAAAAGGGTATACAGTAAAAAGTTCTTCTCCCACCCTAAGTTCAGCCATCTAGGTCCTTCCTTAGGAATAATCAAATCAATGTTGTCAGTTTCTTCTTTATCTTTCCAAAGATATCCAAGGTGCATATATATATTATATATAGAGAGAGACTTTTTGCTATTATTTTTATAGAACTGGAAGCATACAATATACAGTTTTTCTTTTTGATATTTATTCCACATCAGTATATATAGATCCACTTCATTTATTTTATTTTATTTTTATTTATTGTAGAGATGAGGTCTCGCTGCCCAGGCGGGTCTCGAACCCGTGGGCTCAGGCAATCCACTCACCTCAGCCTCCCAAAGGTGTGGGATTACAGGCTGAGCCACCGAGCCCGGCTGATCCACTTCATTTAAAAAGAATAACTATGGGGTCAGGTGCAGTGGCTCAGGCTTACAATCCCAGCACTTTGGGAGGCCAAGGCAGGAGGACTGCTTGAGTCCAGGAGTTTGAGACCAGAATAAGAAACAAGTAACCTAATCAGCCCTCCCATGATGTTCCTGACACAGACCCTATCAACATGGCTACATTCATGTGACTAATCCACCCATCTGCCCTGCTGTTCATCATCCTGATGTCAGTACCTGTGCTTACCTGCCCCTTCTTGATGACGTGAAAAAGACCACTCAATCACCTTAACGACCTGTCCCTATCAAAGGGAAGATTTAAAAGCATTCAAACTCAAGCAACCATTTGCCATTGCTTTGCTAAGTTCTGGTCTGGCCATGCAGCTCTTTGAGCTATGGCTGCCATGCTTTTCTAGCTTTGGACTCCTCCCCTTCCTTGGGGAGGTGAAACATATTCTCTCTCTTCTCTCTCTCTCTCTCTCTCTCTCTCACACACACACACACACACACACACACACACACACACACACACACACACTTACTTTTTAGATAAACTATCTTTCCCAGGTTAACTTTTGTGCAATTCTTTGCATCTTTTGCGGGACACCAGATCACATATCAGGACCCCCCCCCCCCCCGACTAACCTTTTAGAGGCCCTGCTGGGATTCTGACCTAACAATTGCATTGGTACCTCTAGCCAGGCAGGGTGGCTCACGCCTGTAATCCCAGCACTTTGGAAGGTGGAGGCGAGAGGATTGCCTGAGTTCATTTTTAAATTTTTTTTTTAGTTGGAGTCTCACTCTGTTCCGCAGGCTGAAGTGCAGTAACATGCTACGGCTACCGCAGCCTCAACCTGCTGGGCTCAAGTGATCCCTCCACTTTAGCCTTCCAATTAGTTGGAACTTCAGGTGTGCACCACCTCACCCAGCTAATTTTTTTTTTTAATTATTGTAGAAACGAGGTCTCGCCATGTTGCCCAGGCTGGTCTTGAACCCATGGGCTGAGACAATCCTCTGGCATCTGCCTCCCGAAGTGCTGGGATTATAGGCTTGAGACACCACACCTGGACTGTGCTCATACAATTTAAACAGCTTCAATTCCACCTCCACACTATTTGACATATAAAGGTATAAGATTGAATAAAAATTTTGTTGAACTCTCCACCAAAAGAAAACTGGTTAAATACATCACAGTTGTCTTGTATCAAAAAATACTTTGCAAACCTCAAAAAAAAAAAAATAAGGTTGATTAAACAGTCATTGATACATGTACCAGACAGAGTCTTTAATTTACTGTCATTATTTACCTGTAACTCTAATATTATACAATGAGGGTGCATTTCTGTGATGAGAAAAAAATATATGAAAATTCATAAAGCAGCTGGGCGCAGCAGCTCATGCCTATAATCCCAGCACTTTGGGAAGCTGATGTGAGAGGACTTCCTGAGCCCATGGGTTCGAGACCAACCCAGGCAACTTAGTGAGCCCTCATCTCTACAAAAAATCAAAAAATTGGCCAGGTATGGTGGTGTTTGCCTGTAGTTCCAGCTACCTGGAAGGCTGAGACAGAAGGATCTCCTGAGCCCAGCAGGTCGAGGCTGTGGTAGCCGTAAGCATGCCACTGCAGTCCAGCCTGGGCTACAGAGTGAGACTCCAACTCAAAAAACCAGAAAATTCATAAAGTAATCTGCATCATATTTTGCTTGTAGTTATTCATATGATCAATCAGACAATAAATTTTATGGCCGGGTGCAGTGGCTCAAGCCTGTAATCCTAGCACTTTGGAAGGCAGAGGTGAGAGGATTGCCAGAGCTCAGGGGTTCGAGACCAGCCTGGGTAACTTGGCGAGACCTCGTCTCTACAATAAATCAAAAAAATTAGCTGGGCGTGGTGGCCTGTGCCTGTGGTTCTAGCTACTTGGAAGGCTGAGGTGGAAGGATCACCTGAGCCCAGCAGGTTGAGGTTGTGGTGACCGTGAGTGTGACACTGCACTCCAGCCTGGGCGACAGAGTGAGACTCCAACTCAAAAATAAATAAATAATTTTTAAAAGAAAAAAATTTATTTAGTGGCTGGGGAAGAAAAATCTAGCCGGGCTCGGTGGCTCATCCTAAGGAAGCAAATACTAAACTGCAGACAGTAACATGCTCCGATTTCATCTTGGACAGCTGCAGGAAGCCGCAGCATCTCACGAGACGAGCCCAGGGAGGCGAGACCAGGCCGGAGCACACGCCAGGAAGCAGCTGAACCAATCAGCGCCTTGGTTTCCGGGGGTCAAGTCTGCATAGAAAACATCTGCCCAGTCCGTTTCTACGGCGTTGTGACGCAGACACACTGCGACACCATGGGGTTATTAACATCGCTCGGCCTTCAAGGCTCCTAAAGGGACTTTCACAAACTCTTCGTCATCATCGGGCCAACCCACGGATGTGACGGGGACCAGCGACACCAGGCTTCTTCTGGCCGCTGTGTCAGGACACACGCTGACAGCATGGCTAACTTTCTGGGGGCTGTGGATGTCTGCGAGAAGCTGAAACTGCAGATCTACTCCCTAGGAAATTAAACCCACGCGCAGGCTCAAGAGCCTGTGTCTGCAGCCTCCGCGAGTTCGCGAGCCCTTAGGATCCTTGCGGGGCTTCGCCGGCCGCTCGCCCTCCACCCCGTCCCCGTCCCCGTCCCTCCTCCTTTCAGCCTCGGGGGAACACGCACCGAAACGAGCGGGACGCGCAGGTGATCCCCCTGCAGCCGGTTGAAGGCGGGGAACGTGCTCCAGGCGAGGAACCCGGCGCGCTCGGGTCCCAGCAGGGCCACGAGCAGCACCTGGTGCTGGAAGCGCACGGTCGGCTGCTCCTCGTAGCTGCTCCGCTTCAGCCAAAACCCTGAGTTAAAGAGGGCGGTGGGGAGGCGGTCAGGAGGGCCGGCCGGGCCGAGCCGGCCGCGGGGGGCTGCGCAGCACCTGGGCGGGGGTAGGCTCACCGTGGCTCCGGAAGGCCACCAGCAGCGGCGGGATGTACGTGAGCGCGGCGGCCAGGAGCAGGAACAGCGCGGCTTTGGAGCAGAGCCCAGCGCGGTAACCGCGCTCGACCGGGTGAGAGAACAGCTCGTAAAGCGCCATGGGCACCGCAGGCAGTCCGGCAGCGCGCCGGGACCCTGCCGCGATTCGGAAGGGACGACCAAGTTTGGCTTCTCCTGGTTGCCATCGCCTGGGTCTCCACGGCAACCGACGGCGCACGGAAAGGAACCAATAGCAAGGACGCAGCGCTGCAGCAGGGGCGGGGCTAGCGGAGGGCGGCGCCCGCCGGCGGGGGTCACTCACTGCTTACGCGTTGCGTGCGTTTCCTTAAGGGCTGAGGGGTCATTGGATGTTTCCACGGGCCAAAGTCGTAACCACCGTCTGTGTTAGCGTTTGTAGAAAATAAAACGTTCATAAAAGTTGACTTAAATACCTGTTTTCGTATCATCTAGTAACCTCCATTGTGGTTCATACTGAAGTCAAGTCCAACCAGTCATATAAACGTGGTCCTGGGCTAAGACCAAAGCTAGGTTCCCTTGTCTCCAAATTTTCTGTTGTTCCCACTGTGCTCCACAGCAGGACAGACACGGAAACAGGATACAGACCCCCTGGCTCTTCGAGGATAGAGGGAAACTACTACCAAGCTCTCTCCCACATGCTTAGTTACTCTGTATTGAGTACAAGCTTGGCTACCGGTTTTAGAGGAAGTTACGGTTCTCCCCCAAAGATTTTTACCATGAGGCTTCTCTCTTAATTCAATGCTTTCCCTCCCTAAACCAACATTTCGAACATGGCAGAAGGACTTAAAAAACAAAAACAAACAAAACTATGGACCACAGCCAAGTTCCTCATCAATAGGCCCTGACAGATCACATTGCAATGTCAGGGTTGTGCTCAGAGTGGAGTCCAGTAGTTAACGCTCCTACTTTGAAGGCAAGCTAGAAATGGCTTTTAGATGAAGAGAACAGCTGAGAGCCTAACAACAGAGAGGCCAGAACCTGCCTAATTGAGAAACTTATCCCCAGGTCCTTACCACAGTCCAAGATGACAATTGATGTCAGACATAAAATGCTTTTGATATATCACTGGGTTCAGTACTAGTCGTTCTTGCTTGAAAAATTTTCTGGATGACACCCCTCTCCTTTAAAAAAGTACGGCACTTACCCAGAAATGACTTAAGAATATTCTCCCCCCCCCCATTACGGTCTTGTTTTGTTGGGAAGGCTAGAGTGCAGTGGCTCGATCATAGCTCACTGCAGCCTTGAACTTCTGGGCTCAAGCAATTCTCCTGCGTCAGCCTGTTAAGTAGCTGGGACCACCTAGTAGCTTGAGCCACCATGCTCAGCATATAGCTCTTAAATACAGCAATTGTTAGGCTTAAATCTGTAGTATGATTATGACATTATAGTGTATGCTTTAAGTGAATGACTTTTGTTTATTTAAATAACCACTAAATTTAGGGTCTTCTAGATCTAATGTCTCCTGAGAGTAATTCTATCGTGAGGAAAAAGGTGTTTGTCTCCAAAACTAGTACTCTTTTTTTTTTTTTGAGTCAGAGTCTTATTCAGGGTCTCTCAAATCAGTTTAGAACTCTTCATGTTTTCTTTAAGGCTTTCCAACATTTTATTTACCTTGGGATTTATCTGTATTGCTCCCCAATTCCCTCTTCCAACACCAGCCTTTGTTTTTACCTGGAAAGGAAAATTTATCCACTGAAAAATGTACCCTTCTTTCTGCATCAAAGATTCACATTCTCTGTGAAGCCCTGCTAATTCCCACTTGGCTTTGTGTTGGCCCCTACTTTTCTTTTTTTTTTTTAAGTTGGAGTTTCACTCTGTCGCCCAGACTCGAGTGCAGTGGCCACTCCCGGCCACCGAAGCCTCGACCTGCTGGGCTCTGGCGATCCTTCCACCTCAGCCTTCCGAGTAGCCAGAATTACAGGTGCGCGCTACCACGCCCAGCTAATTTTTTGATTTATTGTAGAGATGAGGTCTCGCCTGCCCAGGCGGGTCTCGAACCCGCGGACTCAGGCAATCCACTCACCTCAGCCTCCCAAAAGGTGCAGGATAACAGGCTGAGCCACCGAGCCCAGCTGGCCCCTACTTTTCTAGCAGTGTGTCAGTATCCATGTCCACATACCTCTCTAACATTTGAAACACATCCCGTGTATACTATAGGTTTGTTAATGTGTACTTGCGTATATGTATTATCCAATTTATCTTCCTGACTCACCTTCTCAACTATCCATCCTCTCAGGGAAGGCATTCAGTGTCCTCAGAACATTCACTAGCTAAATATAATGACCCAATATGTAAAGGGGCTGCATATCATCAAGGTGGATAAGCCAATTAGAATGGTGAACTGGAAAAAGACACCAACAAATAGATAAGGATTGAAGACAGAGAGACACCACACATCATTGAGACTATCAGGAGACATGCCTGTGAGTTGGTGAGCCCTGGATTTTTCCCGAGAAGACTACCAAGCTTTTCTACATGCAAGATGATATACACATACCTTGGAGTAGGACACAATGACCAGTTCTGTAAAGGGAAGCAGGGATCTTGAGTCCAATTCCTAACTCTTCTTGATTCACCATCTGTGAGACAGTGAACAACCATCTTCATTCTTCATTGTTTCTTTCTTCTTTTTTTTTTTTTTGAGTTGGAGTCTCACTCTGTTGCCCAGGCTGAAGTGCAGTGGCAAGCTCACGGCCACTACAACTTCAACTTGCTGGGTTCAGGTGATTCTCCTCAGCCTTCCAAGTAGCTAGAACCACAGGCATGCGCCACCATGTCTTGTTGATTTTTTTTTTTTTTTTTGAGATGGAGTCTCACTCTGTCACCCCAGCTGGAGTGCAGTGGTACACTCACAGCCACTGCAGCCTCGACCTGATGGGTTTAGGCAATCCTTCCGCCTCGGCCTTCCGAGTAGCTGGAACTACAGACATGCACCACCACACCCGGCTAAACTTTTTGATTTATTGTAGAGACGAAGTCTCACCAAGTTGCCCAGGCTGGTCTCAAACACCTGAGCTCAGGCAATCCTCTCACCTCAGCCTCCCAAAGTGCTGGGATTATAGGCATAAGACACCGCACCTGGCCTTAATTTTTTGATTTATTGTAGAGACGAGGTCCCACTACGTTGCTCAGACTGGTCTCGAACCCCCAAGCTCAGGCAATTCTCTTACCTTCATCTCCCAAAGAGCTAGGAATACAGGCATGAGCCACTGTGCCTGGCTCATTGTTTAATTCTATCTGTAAAGTAGGTATTTTCATTTTTTCACCCACTGTCTAGCTAATCTCATCTAGTTCAATAGTTTTAATGACTTCTCTCTGAATCTGAGACTCAGAGAGCCATTCACCTACTCTACATCTTCACTCGAATGTGTCTCTTGTGCATTTCATACTTAGTATATCTAAAACCAAACTGAAAAGCCCAGACATCTTTGCCACTATACAATGCAAACTTGTAACCAAAAACTATTTGTACCCCCTATAGCTACTGAAATAAATAAAGATAAAATAAAATAAAACAAAACTCTTAGCCTGGGCAACGTAGTGAAACCTTATCTCTACAAAAAATAGAAAAAATTAGCCAGGTGTGGTAGAGTACACCCATAATCCCAGTTACTTGGGAGCCTGAGGCAGGAGGATAGCTTGAGTTCAGAAGTTTGAGGCTGTAATGAACTATGATTGAGCTGCTGTATTCCAGTCTAGGTGACAAGAGGCCCTGTCTTTAAATAAATAAATAAATAAATAAATAGAATCAAATTCTTAATTCTTACTCCCCAAGCTGGCCTCATCCTATTTCAGTAAATGGCAATTCCATTCTTTCAAAAACCTTGACTTTGATGTGTCCCACATGTCTCATATCTAATCTATCAGCAGATTTCACCCACTCTACCTTCCAGATATATCCAGAATACAACTGCTTTTGGTCACTTCCAGAGACACCATCTTGGCTTAAGCCAACACTATCTTTCCCCAGGATTATCACAATAGCCTCTTAACTATTTCCCTGCTTCCACCCTCAAGTGCTACAGTCTACCAAAGGTAGGCTGATTTCTTAGAACAGAAAGTCAGATTGCATTACATCTTTGCTTAAAAACCCTACATTGGGCCAGGTGCAGTGGCTCAAGCTTGTAATCCCAGCACTTTAGGAAGCCAAAGCGGGAGGACTGCCTGAGCCCAGGGGTTTGAGACCAGCCTGGGCAACTTGGTGAGACCTCCTCTCTACAATAAATCAAAAAAATTAGCCAGGTGTGGTAGTGTGTGCCTGTAGTTTCAGCTACTTGGAAGGCTGAGGCGGAAAGATTGCCTGAGCCCAGCAAGTCAAGGCTGCGGTGGCCCTGAGCATGCCACTACACTCCAGCCTGGGCAACAGGGTGAGGCTCCAACTCCAAACAAACAAGCAAACAAACAGAAGCCTTACACTGACTTATCACCTAATTCTAAATAAAATCCAAAGTTCTTCACATAGAATTCAAAACTCAGGCACTCCTCTGGGTCCCCTCCCACTGTGGGGGTTTTTCTGTCCTCTCAATAATCCTGCTTTCTCAAAAAAAAAAAAAAAAAAAAATTCAAAACTCAACACAGTTTTGTTCTAAGTTACTTTGCACTTATCTCCTAATACACTCCCCCCTTGTTTATTCAGCTCGAGCAACAGAGGTTCCTTGCTCTTCCAAGCATATGCCAACCACTTTATCTTATTAGCATTCCACCCTGCCATCACTTGCTAGTCACCTACCCAGCCTTATTTTTTACATAGCACCAATTATTACCTGGCATATATTTTTTTGTCCTGTGTCCCCAGAATGCAAATTCTATGAGAGCAGCGGTGTTCTGTCTTGTTCACTGTTTTTCCTTTCTCTTGTATGCAACAACACTAATCTCTAAGTCTGAAATTCAAAGGATTTTTCACTTTGTTAAAAATAAACAGAAACCTATTCCAGTTGTTCAGGCAGACAATCTTAAAATAACAAAAATACTTTTAGAGTGAAACCAGATTCCACAGCATCATCAGGAATGTCAACTGTAGGAAATGATGAATGGTAATATTCAAGCATACAGGCCTTACAGGTGCATCAGAATCACAAGCATGTGGTAGGGTTCGTGTGCCCAATTAAGTGAATATTCTTGTTGCATGTTCACCAGCTCATAAACAGATGGTGGCTTAGACCAGACTGCCTTGATG